CACCCACATCCACACCCACACCCACACCCACCACCCACACCCACACCCACACCCACACCCACTCCCACACACACCCACACCCACCCACACCCACACCCACACCCACACCCACACCCACACCCACACCCACACCCACCACCCACACCCACACCCACACCCACACCCACTCCCACACACACCCACACCCACCCACACCCACACCCACACCCACACCCACACCCACACCCACACCCACACCCACACCCACACCCACACCCACACCCTCATTTAGCTACTATTAGGGTGTGTGCGTGTGTGGATATGAAAGTGGGTTTGGGTGTGGGCATGGGTCTGTTCTTTCTATCCATACCCACATCCATACACTCAGACCCACACTCTCGTCAGTCACATTATTTGCAGTGTTTGTTTTGACTTTTATTTGCTTTTTTTGCTTTTTTTGCTTTTTTCTTCGGTTTTTTAGTTAATTCATGTTTGTACAAAAAAAAGAACGAAAAAATTCTCTTCCACCATCTCTTATATATTTCGAAAAAAACAGCTACTCACAACAAGCACAGATTCTGTGACAAAGAAGCGTGATCGTTGTAAGAAAAGAAACCTTGATAGTAAAATCAGAGGCGTATGCAATGCTTCCCGTCAGAGCGAAACGGAACATGGAAGTTGTTCGTCTTGTCAGTTTGGACACTGCAATGGACGATGCAAAAAACTGCAGTAGCATGGAAACACGTATACTTGAAATCAATCCTGCTGCTCTATGTTGTACTGATCACACTCAATGCATTAATTTTATGAACTCAGTACGAAACGAAACAGTGATCCTTATAATATGGAATGGATCTATTAATGAGCTTCTATCCAAAGTTCACAATTATCCGTCGTTGTTGGCAGTTTTCATCTACTCTAAGAAACGTTCTTATGTTCATGATAGACTATGCAGTCAATATTCGAAGATCATAAGTATATTCACTGAACAAGACGTCTTAATTAAAGAGGTTCTAGAAACAATTCAAGCCACGGAAAGAATGGTAGTCGCTTTTAGTCTCTTCGATCAGAAGCAAAAGTCCATTCGAGACCTATCGAAAAACTCGGCCTCTTTTCTTTGGTATCAACTTTTGATCGACGTATTGCAAACTATGGTACCAGATGAACAATCGAAAAATAATATGCTTGCTGTATGTGAAGACTTCTATGCCAGCAAAAAGGAAGAACTTTTGAAGATTGCTGAATTTCGTCGAACTTATACAAAAGACAAAGCTATTTGGTGGTATTCCGATGAGTGTTTTCTATATAAGTTGCTGAATAGAGGCCTTCGAACGGAAGACATCGATCTACTTTATTCATTTCGATTTTTCATTATTGATCTCTCGAACGCATTGGAAAACGAATGTAAGAAGCTAAAAAACAGCGGTTGGATGACTCTCTATCGAGGGCAGGGTATTTCAAATAGCGAGTTTGAAATGCTACGTGGTTGTATTGGAACACTTATCTCGTTCAATGGATTTCTGTCGACTTCACGAGATATAAATGTCGCCTTGAGATTTGCGCGAAAATGTTCGACAACTACAAACGATTTTCAAATATGTCTAATCGAAATTCGTGCTGACCCATCGTTAAAGTCAGCTGTGGTAGCTGATATCGAGCAGTTTAGTAATATGAAGGGAGAGCAAGAAGTTTTATTTGGTCTTGGCACAACATTTAAACTTGAATCAATTGAAAATGACCAAACTTTAGATTTGTGGAAAGTGCGTCTCATAACAACCGACGAAGGCTCCGAACGAACACAAGAATACATACAAGCACAAAAAGAGATGATGAAAGAGTATAGCCCACTGATAAGTTTTGGACGACTTTTATGGAATGAATTAGGTCAAATAGACCGAGCTGAAAACTATTTTAAAAAACTTCTAAGGTCAATTCCTTCAGATCATCCAGATATTGCCGATATTTATAATGGTATTGGTTGTGTGTACGCTAAGAAGGGTGAATTAGATCTAGCATTGAAAAACTACAATGAAGCTTATGAAATCAGAAAACGAGCACTGTGTGCTACTGACCCAAAGATAGCCGGGTCTCTACATAATATTGGTGCCATTTATAGAGCTCAATGTAAAATTGATTGCGCTCTTGATTCATTTTGTCAAGCTCTAAGTATTCATGACAAAAATTACAATGGAGATCACGAGGACAAAGGTTATACAATTGAATCAATTGCTTTGGCATATAAAAGTAAAGGGGAGTTTGACACAGCCCTTATATGGCTCAGTAGAGCTCTTGGCATGTACATGCGACTTTTTCCTTCAGAACATCCTGAAATTGCCAAATGTCTAGGTAGTATTGGTAGTGTTTACGAAGAAAAAGGTGAACTTAACAAAGCTCTAGATTACTATTATCGTCAGTTGGAAATGGAAGAGAAATGTCTTCCTCCTGATCATCCTAGACTATTAAAGCATCTCGATTGGATCGCACGAATATACAGTAAGAAAAATGACCAAGAAAAAGTGCTGACTCTATATCAAGAAAAATTAGCGATGCAGCGTAAAATTCTTGATGAAAATCATCCAAATATTGCTTCGAGACTCATGAAAATTGGGGATCTTCTTAAATGTTATGCAGAATACTATAGTCAAGCATTGAATATTCTGGAAAAATGTACGCATCCAGATTCATCACTCCAAATTAAATGTCTAGATATGCTGAGCACAGTGGCACTAAATCAGGGTGATTCTCAATTGGGTCTCAAACATCAGCTAAATATTTTTGATATCTGTCGTGATATGTATGACCCAAACCATCCTAATATTGCTTCTCGGCTGCAAAAGATTGGAGACATCTATTTAGAATATGCACGTAACTACGAAGAAGCTTCTCGTTATTACTCTGAATGCTTGGCTATCTATCAAATTATTTACAACCCTCGACGTAAAGAGGTCATTGATATTCAAAATAAAATTGTGAAAGTTCAAGCCAGACTGACTGGTGAAAATGAACAAACGAAGCAAGACGATAACAATGATAATGAGTTTTCTCTCTTCGATTAAAAATTACATTTCCATACTACCTTTCCATATTTCCTTTCCAAAAATGTCTGAAAAGAAATAAACGGATGCATGTACTAAAAATCAGTGAAGCTAGAAAGGTTTTCACTGTCCCGAAAAAATTAATCGATTTCTATGTCTATATGGTGTGGGTGTGGGCGGGTGTGGGTGTTGGTGTGGGTGTGGGTGTGAGTGTGGGTGTGGGTGCGGGTGTGGGTGTGGGTGTGGGTGGGTGTGGGTGTGGGTGTGGGTGTAGGTGGGGGTGTCGGTGTGGGTGGGTGTCAGGTGAAGATAAAGAAAAAGAACACATCCAACCCACATCCACACTCACACCCCACACCCCACACCCACACATACACCCACACATACACCCACCCACACCCACCCCCACACTCACACCCACCCGCACCTCAAGCAAAGCAATCAGGTTCTCTGTGTTGTCTCAAATCTTCGATCTTCTAGAGACACAAATGAAGATTTTTACCACTTGGAATCAGTAAAGCTCCAAGTTACGATCGATTAGGACGTACTTGGATTGGTAAAGTCTCTTTCAATTTTATTTATGCAACTCGTATCTCAATTGTCGTGAAACACGATCATCTTCCTTTCCGATTTTAAGGAATAAATTTTCCATCCTTCTACACAACGAATGTTCTAACATGATATCTTTCCAACGATATCAAAACTACCTATGGATGATTTTGCTCAAGGGGGAAAACACGTACTCCCGTACTCCCGTACTCCCGTACTCCCATTGTACTCCCGTACTCCCATTGTACTCCCGTACTCCCATTGTACTCCTGTACTCCCATTGTACTCCCTGGACTCCGGGAGTACATGGGAGTACAGGGAGTCCAACATAGGGGTGGGAGTTTAACTTTAACTTTCACGTTAGAGCCAAAGTTAAAGTAACATACTTTAACACTTTAACACTGTAATGTGAAAGCAAGGGAGAAATCACGTACTCCCGTACTCCATGTACTCCGCGGTACTCCCGTAGTTTCATTGTACTCTCTGGACTCCGGGAGTACACCGAAGTACAAGGAGTCTGTGAGATACAATTCTTATGTAGGAGACCGTATTATAGGTACCGTCGTCAACCACCTTAAATATTCCTATTTCTCAAGGAGAAAACCATGTACTCCAGTACTCTGTATACTCCGCTGTACTCCCGTACTTCCGTTGTACTCCCTGGACTCCGGGAGTACAATGGGAGTACATGAGAGCCCAGCAAGGAGGAAAACACGTACTCCCGTGCTCCCATTGTACTTCCATACTCCCATTGTACTCTCTGGACTCTGGGAGTACACCGAAGTACAAGGAATCTGTGAGATACAATTCTTATGTAGGAGACCGTATCACAGGTACCTTTGTCAACCACTTTAAATATTCCTATTTCTTCTTGAATAGAATACTCATGTCCTCATGGTCTATGCTTTGGGGGCACCCATAAGTCCCCATGGCCTATCCTATGGGGTACCCATAAGTTCTTATGATCTATCTTTTGGGGGTACCATAAGTCTTTATGGCCTATCCTATGAAGGTACTCATAATTCACCAAGGGCTATTGATGTTCGGTATTATTAAATTTTCAAGCACTGTCTTGCGGTAGCTCCAGTTACTCTTCAAGCATCATTTCGTGGAGGGATATCGGATACCGGTAACTGTTAAAGAGATATCTAGCGTTAATCGTCATAGATTTTCAAGAGCTTCTAGGTAGGAACGCAAACTGTGATAAGAACGCCACTCACACGCAAGGAGAAAACAGCAGACTCCCAGATTTCGTACTCCTAGGGATTCCTCGAAACTTCCAGGGACCCCTTGAGACTTCCGCGGGCTCCTCAGCTTCCCAGGATTTCATGAGATTTCTTCGAATTTCGAGGGACTTTATGGGACTGTCTGGGATTTCCCGGGATTTCCTTGAATCTCCTTTGGGTCTTCTCGCTACTTTGGCATATTCCGAAGTAGTAGCACCTACATGCATCATACTGGTCTGACTGTTCAGATCAAAGGTTAAAGGTCAAAGGTTAAACAATAATGAAAAGAAATTAATGTGTAAAGAGCTGCGCTCCTGTATTTTATGGGAGTCCTTGAAACTCCTAGGGACTTCCAGGGACTCGTGGAGTACGGAAGTCTGCTGTTTTCCCTTGCTTATAGTACTCCCATAGGATAGCTCATGAGGACTTATGGGTACTTCCATAAGAGAGCCCATGTGAACTTATGAATACCCCTATAAGATACATCGTACTTCCGGGATTTCAAGGATTCACATTGTACTCTCAGGGATCCAGAATCTTGGAAATCCCCTTTTTCCCCTTGCGTTCGACTATAAGAAAGACGAAAAAGAGGAATGCGACGTCTCGTCCACTAGATACCACCCTAGTTGCTTTGTCTACTAAACAACCTATTATTCAAGGGGAAAACGGCTGACTTCGGATCCATCAAAAGTGCCAAACACGTATTAAAAGCATCGGAGTTGGCTCACGAGAATCGCAACAAGACTCAGAATAACAAAATTAGGTATGGAGTATGACTTGAAGTATCGGAGGATTTGTCAGAGTATTGGAGTACGCCCGAAGTATCTGAGTTTGGCGGAAATACCAAAGGATGAACTCATTTTGAGGTGTTTACAGTTAATTACTTCGTTGCTTCTTTTCGATCATTATGATTCTCAAACGTGAAATGAAGTGTGGTGAGAATTACAGCTATTGACTACTGACTTGAGACTCCCATACTGCGATACTTCAATAATACTTCGATACTCCGGCTTGTATTCCAGTACTCCGATGATACTCCGACGATACTCCAGTACTCCAAGCTGAAATCCAACGCAAAGAGTAAAGTTGATAATTTGAATTATACCGCTGAGACACATGATGGAAGATGGTAGATTCTCACTGAAATATCCATTGCGAACAACACAAAGCATGTTTTAGCTGCTGGAGTACGATGCGAAGTACCGGAGTACCAGCTAAAGTATCGGAGTATCTGAGATCCCGGAGTGCCGTTTCCCCCTTGCTATTATTCGAGGTCGTTTAAAAATTAAAACAAGGAAAAAACCAGTCTTGCAATACTTTCTCCAAAAACATTCGGAATAAACTATTACGTTCGTTGTACTCCCATGTACGCTCTGTACCCCGTGAGTACTCGTAGTACGGGGGTACGTGTTTTCCCCCTTGATTCGAGGTCGTTTATAAATCAACAAAAGAAAAAAAATCAATCATGCAATGCTTTTTCGAGATATATTTGGGGTCGATTTGTGGTACAT